CAAATATACCTTTGGCAACTGTGGCCAAAGGGCAGCATTTTAACTTATCTGTATAGAGCACTCTTTCCAGACCATCCTGTGTTGTTTACAGACATATGCGTTTTTTTTTTTTGCTCTGCCTCACAGGGATACTTTTGTTTGACAGCTCTACTGCAGACATTTCCTTCAAATTCGTTACTCATATGAATGATTCAAAGAAAACAGAAGCCTAAAATTGCCTTTTTAGACCAAAACTTGCGACACCAATCAATAATAAGAGTTCTGTTTTTTTCCTGCATGGAGTCATTTTTGGCACAATTTGTTAGACCCAAAGCAAATCAGCTCCATTGTAATAATGTTTTAACCAGTTTTATTAATATAATGTATAGATTTCAGTCAAATAAGGAAACAATGTGTGTGTTGTCACCACTACATGGTCATTCCAAGCCAAACATTTAACATTGATATAATTTAAGCAGAAGATATTGACTGAAAGAATGACAGATAAATAAACTATAATGAAGATGATATACAATCGCAAACTTAATCCAAAACCTGGAGGTTTGTTTAAGTTTTGTTAGTTAAAAAAAAACTATAATTATACTTGGAATACACAATAAGGAACTTTAATTTGCAATATTTCCCTAACCAATAAACCAATGAAATTTTCACCAAGGGCTGATTTTTCTTGCTTTTGGATTGCAACTAACATCAAATCCAAAGAGCATTTGAATTACTTAAAATTTGAACAGCGCCATCACTGTGTGATCATAGCATGACTCAGCGTTGCATAAATATTGTAGAACCTTTCCACCTGACGCTAGTTGTCATGGTACCATCAGTCTGGCTTGCTTCCTCCAACTACAAATATGAGGAGGGTGAATGTAATGGGAGGATAGTCAAAGCTTTTCCATCTGAAGCTCGATGAAAATTCACTCTAGACCATTTGTTGCAGCTTAAAAGAAAGAAAAAAAAATATTTGTTTCAATTTCTCAGATACTATAGCCATTTAATTAGTCAGCAATAATCACAGGAAAATCTCTACTGCAACAAATGAAATGAAAACAGACAAACAGACTTCCTAATTCAATTTGATGCCTTAATACAGACACATACACACACCCTTTTTTTAAAGGCCACATTCATCTTAATGCACAATGTTGCAAAACTCTCATATTTTACATCTATAATTAGCAACAGCACACATATTTATGCCATTACCGCATGCGAGTCATTTCTTCTTTAACCATCCTAAGTCAAATATTTGAACAGGCTTTTTTTTTTTTTCCTACCTGTGCTTTAAAACACTGGGTTAGGTCGCAGATTTCAGCTGTCAAGTAACACTGGCTTACTTTGCCAGCTAAATATAGTGAAATATAACACATGGTGGACACACATGAGGCACTTGCAGGAAGCTGAACTGGTTTTGGTCAACTCACAATAAGTTGCTATGACATGTGACTTGAAAAAATAAAAACTTATTTCATTTGTATTTTTTTTACGAGTGTTGGTTCAAAGCAGTCACCTTGTAAATTCTTTCCTGGCGCTCATAACAGCAGCACTCAATGTATACAACCAGTGAACAAGTACTTCTTATGCATCTCATTCCAACTGACTTTCTGCCATCAGCTTTCAAACACTGCGTGATAAACTTATCAGCAATGTGAAACTGGAAAAACAAAGAATCTGTGCACACCCTGTAAGAAAACTGCCAAGGGAACCTGGCAGAGACAGCATGTTCACAACTGTTCATTTATTCAAACTCTACTTTTGAATCCACTGGTACTTTTTCCTCTTTGTGATCAAAAAACCTCCTTTACATTTTAATGAATTTGTGCTCTGCATTAAGACAATTATCAGACTTCACAAGAGCTTTCCAATAATGTTGATGGCTGATAATGCAGAATTGCATCTATTTGAATTGTTAGCCAGTAAATCATTGACAAACACACAAAGGCTCAGCTTTGATTATCACAGATTTTGACAATGTCAGGCTGATTTCATAATGTCCTCAAGCATTAAGTCAAAGACCTAATAAGACCTCATTCCCTACTAGGAAACATTACACATTGAAATTCAAATAAAAATTTGTATTTGGTGGTCAAAAATAGTTAGTGAAAATGCACAAATTCAATAACAAAGATAATTTGCTATCCTAATAAAACTAGACAACAAATTGCAGCTGATGCCATATTATAGAAGACTACTACACAGTACAACCGAGCCTTAAGAGTTACATAAATCCAATGAAATGCATTATACCTGTAAAAGTAATCCAGCTACTGTAATTTAATTCCAATTTAAATAAAAATAAAAGGAGGCACATGTTCCAATCTACTGAATTCACTTAAACTGATAGGACAGAACATCTGTTTTTAAAGTTGTAGTGGTTGTACTGAGGTTTAATGCAAAGGGAAGGTTATCCATTTCAGTGTCATTATTAATTCAAGACTGGGCAGCTGAATGGAATTTAAGGCATCCATTTGCATTCAGACTGAAAGGTGCTTTTATGTATATTTTTTCATATTTATGGAAGCAAGGCCTGACCAAAGAAAGGCTTGTATTTCACAAAGCAGTTAAAATAAGGCATTTAAGAAGGAGAAGAAAAATGGAAGGGCCCTTTGTTTTTGCAGCTTATATGAAAACGGTATCAGTGGCAACATGTCAGACGTATACTTTTTCAAAGGTTTTCCCCATTTATGCTTATTCATGCTATTGCACCACATTATGAGCAAACAATACGCCTGGTAGCAGCCTGTGCTTTCCCTGTATAGGCTATGCACAAGTAAAGCGTTTAGTTTTATATCCAAGCTACCACCAGCCATTAGTTCGTGAAGAAGCCAAAGTCAGAAGAGCCAGTAGATTTTAGCTTTTTACTATGATGCAAGTCCCAAGACAAAGCGATTAAAAGCACCCTGATGGACATCCGAGTAATGTTCGGAATTATTGATCTTCTATCTATTAGCTAAACCTTTGTCAAACTACTGCCTTTGAACACGCAGCTTAATGTCACGACTGCAAATTAAAGCTTCATCGTCTAACGCCTCCATGCACAAGCAGTCTCTGCGTAGCCATGAAATTATAAGGAACTCCAAATATTCTTAAAAGCTTTTATGTCGAACACTCTGGCATGTCTCCACTGATCCACCAGATCGTGGAAAAAAAGAAAAAAAAAAGATCATTAAGAAACTGGCTTGTTCTTGGGCGTGTAGTGCGAGAAGGGCAACTGAAATAAAACCAACCTTAAAGCACATTTTTTAACAGAATAATAACTATCAACGAGGTTAATTTTTGTTTCATAACTTCCATGAACTGTAAACAACCAGCTCTCAATACAGCTGAGGCTAGTTAGCCTGACGCTAATAGTAACTGCATGTTTACCCTCATATTGTTTGACAGGCGCTTACGATGGGCTTTCGCTACTGTAAACGACAAAGTAATATTTTTATTTTTTATTTCTGCGAACTGCTGGTATAAGTTTACTGATAAGAAAATCAACTTACCTTGATATGTTACGCAGCAGGGACAGAAACTTTAACAAATTGCTAAGGTGAGCTAGCAATCAATTCAGCTAACGTAGCCCCGTAACGTAGCAAATAACAGGTGGAGAGTGTCCAGCATTTAAAGACCGTCGACTGATTTCGACCCAGTGACTGTGTGCCCACCAACAGCCAGCTGGAAGTAGTTTGTCGAAGTGTCAGTACTAACACAAAAGTTACTATCACCGTCTGTGAGCCGGTTAAACAACTATCGCTAACCCAACCAGTTACACCGGAGGCAGCCCGGGTTGGAGCGTGTCTTATGCAGAAGTAGATCACATAGGCATAGTCTCCATAAGGGAGCGCTTCACCGTGCAGCTTCTATTCTGTTTTATTTCTACAATTCCGCTGACGCCTCTCTATGACGTAAATCAAATGACAAACAAGCTCCGTTTTTGTGTTTAACCTTTTCCTTTTTTGAGGACTGTCTGTACAGATATGAAATGGTTCGCAGTAATACGTATAAAAATAAATAAATAAAAACATATTTTCTTAAGTGCAATAAGAATTATTTAACAACAACATGATAACGCATATATCTGCTAGGTCGGTTGGTGGTCGCCTGCTGATGACGCCATACTTTTGACATTGGCATGGGGCGTAATTAAAATATAGGTAACGATTAGCGAGACATTTGTTTTAAACTTAAAGCTTCTTTCTATAATTATTTTATGTGATATAGTATTTGTTGCAAAGACTATAAAGCAAGACGTGTTCGGCTCTGTTATAAGCTCTAGTCTGGCTTCCATGTGATTGTTAGCTAATGCCTTTAGCTTACTAGCTGCTAACTACACACTATTTCTCTTTTCAGCGGACATAGTATTTGCTGTAATTATGGCTCTTCCCTGGCTCTCAAGATCCCTTTCTGGGCTACTCATGGAGACGGCGTCCCTAAATTGTCAGAGGAATTTTAGGTAAATTTCTTAGAAATGTTATTTGTGTCCTTGGTTAGACCATCTAAAGAAACCAATTCAGCAAAAATCATCCAGCTGACCAGAAAACGTAGCATTTTTATTGCAGCTTTAAATATATTGCGTAATGTGCGTATGTGACACCGCAGTGCTGTTTTTAAACTCTTATATATTTAAACTGCATTTACTGTAAATCTAAGTTTAAGACTTGGATGGAAACCCGAATAAACTTTTGAATTGTGAATATCTAAAGTCATTAGTAGTCAAGCTGTAGTGCTGGGTTTTATGAGCTGATTATTTTCAGACATGCGGGAAAAAAGGATGAGAGGTTTGTTTTTTTTATTTTTTGAAGGGAAAGTCATTCCATGTGTGAGTAGTTTTCCCTATTCTTCTAAAGTCACATGTAAACAGTTTTCCTGAAATATATGCAAGAGCTGGTCTCATAGGACAGGCTGAACACTTTAGTTTTACAGCAGTGGCCTGCCCCTCAGCCTCAATGTCCTATTATACAATTGAATTTTCTAATTCAGTTATCTGGTGCAGTTTGTGCCCTTAAATTACCCCCATGAGCCAGCCCTGAATCATTTCTTTATTGAGTGCTTATGGAGCAGTATAAGAGGCAACTTGTTCAATTTATAATATCACATGATATTTAGCTTTATATTTTAGTAGAAAAGTGGATTACTTGCATACCTGCTGACTGAGGGATCTAAGTGACTGTCATGGTCAGTGATGCTTGGTAATGAGTAATGAACTTAACTCCTTAAGTTGGACATGACTAATATACTCTTTGTCTTGTCAGTGTATCTGCTGTTGCTGCAGCCATTCAAAAAATGACAAGAGTACGTGTAGTGGACAACAGTTCTCTTGGAAATACTCCATATCACCGTCCTCCGAGAGTGATCCATGTCTACACCAAGAACGGCGTAGGAAAAGTTGGTGACAGAGTGTTACTTGCCATTAAAGGACAAAAGAAGAAGGCGCTTATCGTTGGACACAAAATGCCTGGAGACCGGATGGCTCCACGCTTTGATTCTAACAATGTTGTACTCATTGAGGACAATGGGAACCCCACAGGAACAAGGATTAAAGTCCCTGTACCCACACATCTACGTAAACTAGAGGGAGATTACTCTAAAGTATTGGCAATTGCTAATTCATTTGTCTAATCGTGTCAAATATGTGAACATTTTGTGCTCAAGTTGTCTTCAATAAACTTTAAAAGAACAGATGGCATTGCAATTGTTTTTGTTTTTTAACTTGGTACTGCAATTAGGTCAAATCTTTATCAACATGTCTTTTTTTACAGAAGCATCCCAATGCTTACAATAAATATAGGCTTCACCTTTAAAGCATAGACACTTCTTGTCCAGTAGCCAAAGAGAATGTGGGGCAAACTTGTGTTGTGGAAACAATGGAAAAATATCATGAGCCTTTGAATATTTATTGAAGGCACAAAATACATTCGTAACACAAAACACATGACTGGCACATTTTACTGGTTGTTCGTACCATGATTTTTTTTTTCTGTGTGTGTATAAGGCAATCATCAGTATCATGTGATTCCTTTAAACGTCACTAAAAGTGAACGGATACATTATTAATGTGAGGCAACTTCTCAAGCAGCTTCAACTATAATTCAAGTGCAATTTAGTACAAAAAAAAAACCTAAGAGGTGAGTGGCTTCAATTCATGAACGTCATGTTAAACAGGTTCAACTAATATAGTAAATATTAAATGTTTCAAGTTTGTCACTGACATCAGATTAGCTCCGTAGTGACACCTACAGGTGTAAGAGTGAAACTGCTGACGATAACTTCAGATTTTCTAAAACAAGATTTAAACAAATGAATGCACAATTACTGAGAAACTAAAGCACTTTTAGAAATACCACAGAAACAGATTTTCAGACAGACTTCAAAGAGTGAAATTTTCAGCTGAGAGTGACATCAAAATTAAAACATGTAAAACCAACTCGCAGTAAACATTGCAGCTAGTGATTTTCGACATGCACATGGCCATGCTGTGTAAATAAAGATGACACATTTATGTCATATGGTGACGGCTACATGCTGTAGCTTTGCATAGATCCTAAAATATGTCCAGGATGCACCACGTTGGCTTTGCTGGACTTTGGTTTTCTGTTACACAGCTATTTTGCAACTTTTATTTAAGCTGAGGTGGGATGTGTAAAAGGATCTGAAGGTTTCTAGGGCGAAAGGGTCTTCATAGCTCCAGCTTTGCAGCAGTCTGCAGGCACTGTGCCCTTACTCGATACACCTTAACAGAAGGTTCTCTTCAACCACACATGGTCAGATAAAGCCACTAGCAAGGTAACAAATAAAGTTAGACAAACAGAAAAGTTTGACAAAAGGATACTGGATACATTTTCTTTTTAAAACAGCACTCACGTCTGTCAGGTTCATCTCTGCCTCTCCTGATCCCGCCTCGTCAAAGTTTCGGAAAGACCCTATTAATTCAAAGTTTTCATCATTTATTGCCACTGCATTAATAATGAAATATGGTGCCACTATGCTGCTTTTATTTCTAATAATGTGTCTGTCAACATTACTTACTAAACATGGCTTCAAGCTTAACCAAGCAGCATATGAAGCTGTCAAAGTCAATCATCTCATTCTCTGCATACCGGGCCACCAGAATCTGGTGGAGTCGATTATTCAGCTTGAAACCTACAAAGAGTTTAAAACGGGTTAGTATTCACTTAGTGGTCAGTATGACTACTTTATAGCATAATTAGGTATGCCTTGCTACTGCCAGGTTGGATCTGCTTTTGCCTTCAGAGTTGCTTTAGTTCTTAATAGCACAGAGTCAAAATGCTTGAAACAATTCATCAGAGATTTTGGTCAAAGAACTTCTGCTCACTGGATATTTTTGTCTGTTTACAACCATTCTCTGTAAACCCTAGAGACGCCATGTGATTGGCTGTTAACCTATGCTTGACTGCTTGTTAAACCTTGGTTTAACAAGCAGTCAAGCCAGTGAAGTGACCGGTGTGTGTAGCTGTGTCAATATGATTCTTTGATATGAAAAATTATACCTGCTGCTTCCACAGCAAGTCGCATCTCATATGAGCTCATGGCCCCTGACTTGTCGAGGTCGAATTGTCTGAAGACGACCTGAGAGATGGAGACGGTAACATAAATAGAAATACAGACAATCTAAGTATAACGTTCCTGTTTTAATCGCTCCTACCAGCCACTTTCGGATCTTGTTCCAGAGGATCTGAAACTCCACAAGTCCTAAACGAGCACTACCATCTTTCTAGGAAACATTTTGTCAGGGGGCCAAACAAATCACATGCTAAAGGCACAATTTAAATAGTCAGTTTTGCAAGATTTAGGTGTGATAACACCAGAGGATACATCCATCAGGTTCACCATGGTCCTACAAGACTCCATACTGAAGCCATCAGTCTTCAGGTCTTGGTCTGAAATGACAAAAAAAAAAAAAAAACCTTCTTCAAACCATCTGGCTAAAAAAAGACACAGTTAAAGGGAATGGGCACTACAGTGGAATCTAATACAGTAATGGGAGATGTATTAGCAATATGTGAATTGCACCCAAAATAAAGAGAACACTCACGCCGGGCGACGACTCTGTTTAGAATGGTCCTCAGCTCATGAATAGAAATCTCCATGTCCTGCAAAACAACAAACGACAATTAAAGTTTGCAACTAAGAGCAACTTTACTGGCTTTGTTTCTATCATGAATACTGCAAACACAACTATTACCACTACATATGGTGTTTTATCAGATAATTATATAAAAGTAGTTGTACGTAGGTGAAAAGATGCTAAGCAGTAAGAGAGATCTTTTCAAAACTTACCTCTCCTGCAAGTTGAGCAAACATGGCCTTAAAAGAGTCATCAATGTCATCTTCAGTTATTTCTTCCTGTAGGAAAGCAAACCATGGTAGGCACAGGGTGTAAAATCAAAAAGCCTTAGCATTCTTGCAATACGTGTAATAATTTAAAATTTCCAACTGATGTATACGTACATCCTCTCCCAAATCGGCAGAGACTTCATCATCCAGCTCTCTGCAACAGACAAACTCTATTGGTACAAGGCCTCCTTTTCCACACATTGTAATCGGTGAAAATAGATAACAAAATACAAGCGTAAACATACTCGGTCTCTGACTGCTTCTCGGTGAACACCCTTAGGACAAAGTCGGCCTCTTTACTGGGCTCAAAGGTGGAGGGAACGATGAGGTACTCTCCTGGAGGTAGACGGAGCCGTGTGCTCACCTCCCGGAGGTTGATGAAGGTTTCCGAGCGAGCACAGGAGGAATGGCTCAAAAAGAAATTCTTCTTCAAATGGACATTTTGGCAGCCTCTGTACTAAAGGCAGCAGCAAGCAGAACATTGGTTCAAATACATATGCAGGCTTTTAGCTCCATTTACTGTAATCACAGTCATACATGGTTCACATTACACTAAGAGTAATGGTAATGAATTTTTTTAAAAAGTAGTAAAGTGATGCTCTGCTTACCTCTTCTGGAATCTGCAAAGACAACAGGGGAAAGAGTTAAGGAATGAGCATGAGGATCCTTTTAAACATACAAACAAGGCAAAGGGACAATACAGATTTTCTCTGTTCGCACCTCATACAGAGCAAAGCCAATGGTGTGCATGTCTTGACCTTGACGTCGATATCTGCGCCGGTCTTTCTGCATGAGGGCTACTAAAAAACTGCACGCCACCTCATCGTCCTCTGGGTCGTCGTCCTCCTCCAGCAGCGTGATCTTATACTGAGGGTTGATCCAAAACGTGTCTGCACAGACGGGACATTTATGTTAGCCTGTTTCATGGTCCAACAGTCACTCACCTGCGGAAACTGTGTACACTTGATTGTAAAAGTCATGTTTGTGGGGTATACACAGTTAGGACTCACTGGGATGGTTCCTGCAGCCCCCGGCGGTGCTCCCTCTCCTCCACGTGCCGTAGAACTTGATGGTGTTCCAGTGGCTCAGGCTGTCGTCACTCAGAGCATCTGGAGTCAAGTTGCAGATCTCTAGTCGAGAAAACTGCCTGATGAAATCACTGAAGGACATCCTGGAAGATGTAGGTGTAGCTTTCCTTAAACAGCTAGTTCAACACTGTGCTTTTTCACTCACTATAAGAGTTTGATTATCAATCTTGCAGCACTCTCATATCTGTGTGTTAATGATAAACCTGAAGCCGGGAAACAGTAAGTTTAGCACTCTAATAGATCAGAAGGAAATAATTAACAGCACATTACACTGGTAATTACAGCTGTACATACAAACCAGCTGGTTTTTGTTTTTTTTTACAAGATAACACTCCAGCAGCAAGTCACTGCTTTTAAGTTGTTTTCAGATGGAATAAAATCACATTTATATCTTTACAAAATGGATTTAAAGGCAAAGATTTTCTATCTATGGTCAGAGTTGGTTTAGTGTTTACTCTTAAACTTTGATTGTTTATGCTGAGTTTTTGCTAAAAGCCTTGTTGTAGCTTATTGTTAAGACAAAGACACAATATTCTCATCCCGGCAAAAATATCTGTCTGTTTCTTTAAAATCATCTAGTACCAAAACTCGCCATCTTCCATCTGCAGATGCAAGTCTTCTCGTTCAGAAGGGTCGATCTGATCCCATTCAGGAGAACTACAAATGACAAGAAAAGCAGGCGAGAACAATTAGTGAAGATGGTGCGCTTTATCTGACCCTTCCTGATTTGTTATTTCTTTTAAATATCTGTCATGCTTACGTGTTTCAGATCAAACTAAGTTAAAACAAAATGCCATTTTCAAATCATGATTTCGTCCATTAAAAGAAAAATGCTGCCTGGTCCTTTGTGAAAAATTGCCCTCCTTGTTAAATCGTGAATTAATTGTGATTATCCACATTTTTGGAAAGCTGAGTTCAATTTCATTAGCCACACGCCGGCCTGTTTGCTGCCAAACCTGCTGAATCAAGAGACCAAATAGAACCTGCCATTAAAGGACCTGGATGACTCGCTGTAAATGATAGAACCATGAATTCTGCTCTAACTGAGAATGTCTGGTCATCAGTTCATGCTCTAAAAATCAAGCATACTTGGATTATGCACCAGGACAGCAATCTGAAACATCTCTGAATGGCTAACAGAAAACAAAGTGGAGTGGCCTATTCAATGTCTGGACTTTGAATCAGAGTGAGATGCTTTGGCATGACCTTAAACAGGCTGTTTATGCTCAAAAACAC